AAGTGCAGCCAGAGTGCTCCTTGGAGGCCAGGATGGCTAAGCTTCGTCTCTCATACTTTGGACATATTGTCAGGAGGGAACAGTCGCTGGAAAAGGATGTTATGCTGGATAAGATGGAGGGTCAGAGAAAAAGAGGAAGACCCCCAACGAGATGGATCAGCCAGGTGGCGTCATTGATGGCGTCAAGTGTGGCAGCGGTAATGAGGTTGGCCTAGGATCGGACATTGTTTCGTTCTGCTGTGCATGGTGTCGCTATGAGTAGGTTCTGACTCCATGGCATCTGACAACAACAACAACAACAACCCTGTTTTGGGATATAGATTTTCTTTATGTTAACGAGGCCACATTAGTGTAAAGCTTGTCCTAAACCAATCACTTTTGAGTGACCAAAAGCCGCAGATTGGTCACAAAAGCAAGCATAAACAGGGAGGAAGATATATGCCACATGAAGGTTGCCAAGAAACCCAGGGCTACAGAACGTGAGAGAGCAAAAGATCTTCCCCTAGAGCTGACAGACTCACAGCCTACTTCTAGGGCTGTTGCCTTGAATTCTGACTTCTAGCCTCCTGAACTGTGGTAAAATAAAAATTTTTTAAAAGCCACTACTTGTGGTATAAGGAGTCCTGGTGTGGCGCTGTAGGATAAACACTCTACCACAGATTGGTTTGAACCGAAAGATCAGCGATTCAAATGCACCATCTACTCCTTGGATAACTCTATATAGGGTCGCTATGAGTTGGAACCAAACTGACAGCACTTAACAACAACTTGTATGTCTGTTATAGCTGTATAAGGAAACTAAGACACCACTAGGAAAAAGCTAAATTTTAAAATGTAAGGAATAATACTTGTTTATTTTCCTCTAACTCACTTAGTATATCAAGTAAATCCTGAATTGCCTTTTATGTTCCAATTTCAATCTCAACAGGCTAGCTTTTTTACTTTTAACTTTTATGTTTTTCAGAAAAAATCTAGAGGAAGTGCACAAGTGACTCATTCTTCTTTTGATGTCAGAGTTCTAACTCAGTTGGTAAATATTTGAATGCCAGTTATCAAAAATACACATTTTATAAAAATAACAATAAAGGAAGTTTTCAATTTGTATGTTTATAAATAGAGACTCAAATAATTTTAGACATGAAAGTGATTATATGAAATATCTAATTTGTGTCTAACAAAATCTTTGTGTCTTTTGTCTCAAGGGTATTAAATTTTTTTATCAGTTTCACATTCAACCATTCATTTAACTTGTTTCATTACATTGATTATAATCCCCTCCATATACCATCAGTTAACAGTGTTTCTCTTTTTTTTGGTGTGTGTGTATGGGGGGGGAAACTTTGCCTTTTTGGAATTTACAGTCTCGGCTTCTATGGAAGGTTTTTACATTTATCTGTGGATACGATCCGCGGGAGAAAGATGAGGCTTTCTACTCCCGTAAGGATTTACACCCTCGGAAACCCTGTACAGGGTCGCTATGGGTCGGAACCGACTCGACGGCACTTAACAACAACAACAACAATCCAGGGCTCATGCATGAGATTACAAGCAAGCATACTGAATAATCAGATGAGGGCCAGTATGCTATGTCTGCTAGGTGACTAAAGTCTGATCCTCGGAGCCTATGGTTTGGACAGTCTGCAACGCTTGGGCCCACAGGGTCTTGACCTCCTGACTGGGTCTGCACTGTCTGCCACAGATTCCCCCTTATTTATTATTTGTTTAAGGGACGCTGCCTGTCTTAGGCGGTCAGTGCGAATTCCTCCATCTTACCTGTCATTGAAACTCATTGCAGCATGGCAATGGCTCTGTTTTAGGTTGCTGAAGGGGTATTAAAATTTTAACAAGTAGATAACAATTGAAAAAAACATGAATGTGCATATATGCATGTACCAGCATGCGTCAAATAGTTCGTGGAAAAATGGCATTAAAAGATAATTAAATTTTCCCATGAACTTTTTTTTTTTAACTTGTCAAATGAGTGAAAGTTTACATACAAGATCATCAGTTTTGCATTAACAAGTCATAACTTTGTTTCATAGAATGATTACATTCCCCTCCATGCTATAATAGTTATCTTGCTTCTCGACTTTGTCCTTAGGAAAATGTTGCCCTTTTGATTTTGAATGATTGATGAATTCCATGGTGAGCAAACTTTAGTAGTATTGTTGTGTCCCCCCACCCCCGACCTCACTGCCACATACCTATCTACTTCTTGACTGAATGTTGGGGCATGAGGGTGAGTTCCTTTCCAGACTGGAAGGGTGTTCGAAGGCCACAGTCTCAGTTCTTCCAGTCTCTTTCTGACCAGTAAACTGGTCTTTTTTTTTCTAAATGATTTTTTTTCTACATTTTCACCTACTCTGTCTGGGATCCTCTAATATGATCCCTTTCAGAGTAGATGGTAGTCATAGCCAGACACTGTCATGGAGACTGATGTTCACATGTTCCATTGTGCTAATATATTCCACCTATGAACTTTTAGCGTAGTGGTTACGAATTGGGCAGCAGTTCAAAACTACCAGCCGCTCTGTGGGAGAAAGATGAGGCTTTCTGCTCCCATAAAGATTTACAGCCTTGGAAACCCTATACAGGGTTGCTATGGGTTGGAATGGACTCAACAGCACTTAACAACAACAACATGAACTTTTTGAAGCCCATAAATATAAATATTTAGTGTTGTAATTTTTATAAACAAAGTTATAAAAATAACAATAAAGGAAGTTTTCAATTTGTATGTTTATAAATAGAGACTCAAATAATTTTAGACATGAAAGTGATTATATGAAATATCTAATTTGTGTCTAACAAAATCTTTGTGTCTTTTGTCTCAAGGGTATTAAATTTTTTTATCAGTTTCACATTCAACCATTCATATAACTTGTTTCATTACATTGATTATAATCCCCTCCATATACCATCAGTTAACAGTTTTAAAAACTTTTTTTTTAAGTTTTTAAAACTTTTTATTGTGAATTGTTAATATATCAATGAATTATCAGATTATCAGTTTTACATTAAGCAAAGCATACACTTTGTGTCATTTCAATGATTGCAGTCCCCTCCATGTAACATCAGTTATCCCACTTCCTCCCTGTGATTCTTGTTTCCATTCCACCCTCATTCCCAACCCTTCTGACCTTTGTCCTTAGGTAAATGCTTCCCTTTTGATCTTGAATGGTTTACCATTTTTAGCCCCTTAAAAGTAAAAGAACTGTTCACAGATGTGCTAAGAGTTGTCATATACTTAACTTTAAGTAGATTTATACCTTCTCTGATTTTATAAAATCAAAATATTAGTCAGTTCTCTATTTTTATATTGTAATTTAAATGCACATCTGTTCAGTAGTTTAAAGTTTGATTATCTTAAAGAATGGAATGTTAAAGCAACTAATTATTACTAAAAGTATACATGCTTTTTATTCTAATCCTTTTTGACTTTACCCTGGAGAACAGATGAGGCACACGCATGTTTTTACGAAAATGAATATCCAAGTTATGTTGGAAACCTTGAAATAGGAAGTACTAGCAAGAGATATGTTTTTATAACGGAATAAAATAGAACTAAAAGCAGTTTGACATATGATGCTTTAATTTCTTCTCGTCTTTCCCTATAATTAATAATAGTGCTTTACTAAATTGTCACTGGATTTATGCCACTCAACATGAGTTCTCTATTTATTTTCTCAATAAGTTACAGTATTTTTCATTTCTTTATTTTTCGCCTTTTGATTTCAGAAGAGTTGGCCTTTGTATTAAGGTCATTCCTCCACCTATGTGGTGTTTTGCTAGTTATGCTTATATGGCCTCTTTGTTTATTTATAGTTAAAATTATTTTATTGATAAAATGCATTTGAGGGATTTATAAGATGTAGTGCTATAGAAAGGTAATTTCTTGCAATAATATTGAATAGCGTTTGTATTGTTGTGTGCCATTGAGTGTATGTGTATATATAAAGTATGTGATACCACTTTCTTTCCAGTAAGCCTCCATCAATTGTTAATGTGTTTGCAGTATTAAGGTCATTTTTTTTTTTTTGCATTCCTTACAGTCCCACTGCCATTAGCCAATCTTTGTCTTAATCTCTTGATTCAGAATTCCTTAATCACTAAATTGGCTCATAGAATGTTAATTTAAGACTCTTCATAGTCTCAGCATAGCTTTTTCATTCTTTTTTCTAACTTACTTTTACTATTCTCTATGTATTTACTTGTATATAGCTGTGGGCTAATGCGCTGGATTGCAAAGTCAGTTTGAACCACCAGTCCAAGCTCACCAGCTGCTCCTTGGAAACCCTATATAGGGTCGATATGGGTCAGAACCGACTCAACAGCATTTAACAACAACAAATTCCCTTAAAATTCTGTATATTTCCTGAACTGTGTGTCTTGCCAGTGCCATGTTTTTTCTATCAGCTATACTGTTAAAGAGCGTGTGGTGGCTCTGTAGGATAAGTACTGTAATACAGACCAAAAGTTTGACAGTTTGAGTCCACCAGCCACTCTGTGGGTGAATGATAAGGCTTTCTACTCCCACAAAGATTTACAGCCCTGGAATCACTTTACAGGGTCAATATGAATCAGAATTGACTCAATGGTACTTAAAAACAAACAACAGTGTACTGTTAAAGTTCTATATGTACATTAAGACATAGTTTAAATGCTACCACTACTTTAAAGTTTCATTTGATCACTTTAGTCCTAGAGGATCTTCTGCTTTCCAAAATCCCATATAAGTATTACAGAAGTTTATTCACTTAGGATCAAGTTTAAGGTCCCAAAGTCCATTCTGTAAGCCAGTTTGTCCTACATCCAAAGTAATCAAGAGAAGCTTACAGTTACAGAACCCGAATACATCTCCACCAAAAATGAATGAGACCCAATTCTTATGTCCTTTAAAACACTTTTCCTTGAAATGTGTATTTGAATGCATGTGTGTGTATAGTCAATATGTATGTGGAAATAACATATTTTGTTGTTAAGTGCCCTTGAGTTGGTTCTGACACCTATCAATCGTGTATAGGGTTTCCGAGGAGTGACTGGTGGGTTTGAATTGCCAACCTTGTGGTTAACATTCCAGTGCTTGTCCTACCGCACCACACCAGTACTCCATGTATATATGGTATCAGCAGTTGTGACTATGGTGCAGGACAGAGCAGTGTATAGGGTTGCTATAACTCGCAACTGACTCAGCACAACCTAAACAATATATATATTGTTGCTGGACCCACTCAACAGCACCTAACAACATATATTTTCGTTGTTAGGTGACTTCAAGTTGGTTCCAACTCATAGCAACCCTGTACACAACACAACAAAACACTATTTGGTCCTGCACCATCCTCACAGTTGTTACATTTGAGCCCACTGCTGCTGCCATTGTGTCAATCCATCTCTTTGGGGGTCTTCCTTTTTTTCTTTGACCCTACATTTAACTAAGCATGATGTTCTTCTCCAGGGACTGGTCCCTCTTGATAGCATATCCAGAGTATGAGAGATGAAGTCTCACCATCCTGGCTACTAAGGAACATTCTGACAATACTTCTTCCAAGACAGATTTGTTTGTTCTTCTGCCAGCTCATGGTATTTTTAATATTCTTCTTTAACATCATAATTTAAAGACATCAATTCTCTCTGGCCTTGTTTATTGTCCTTTCTCGTGGATGAAAGGTGATTGAAAATACCGTGGTTTGGGTCAGGTGCACCTTAGTACTCAAACTGACATCTTTCCTCTTTAACATGTTAAAGAGATCTTTTGCAGCAAATTTGTCTAAGCAATGTATCGTTTGATTTCTTGATTGCTGTCACCATGAGTATTGATTGTAGATCCAAGCAAACTAAAGTCTTTGCAACTTCAATCTTTATTTATCATGATGTTATTTATCGGTCTGGTATTGAGGATATTTATTTTCTTTATATTAATCCCTGTTGGAGGTTGTAGTCTTTGATCTTCATCAGTTAATATTTAAAGTCCTCTTTGCTTCTTCCAGCAAACAGCATATATCATTCTGCATATCGCAGGTTGTTAATGAGTTTTCCATACACACACTCACATAGGCTATATCACATAATAATTTATGTAATATCTACATGAATAAAACAGACCATTGTTTTTCAATACAGAGTAGCTTCATCTACAATAAAGGTCTAGTGAATGGATGAGGGAAACCCATTTTTCCTCCACTTGCACCTTATTAATGTATTAAAGACCTCCACAAGTGCCATAAGAAGCTTATTCCAAATGCTTTATGGTTTGATGATAGATATTTTACAATGAACCTGAAACCTGTAGAACTCTTTGGAATGTGACACTATTATTATTATTTTAGTAACAAGACCTTGACCATGCTTATTGTTGTTGTTGTTGTTGTTAGGTGTCTAGTCGGTACTGACTCATAGCGATCCTATGCACAACAAAACGAAACACTGCCCGGTCCTGGGCCAACTTCACAATTGTTGCCACTATTGAGCCCGGTGCCATCAAGTAGATACCAACTTATAGCAATCCTGTGTACAACAGAACAAAACACTGCTGAGTCCTGCACCAGCCTCCCAATTACTGCTACATTTGAGCCCATTGCTGCTGCCACTGTGCCAGTCCATTTTGTTGGGGGTCTAACACTTTTTCTCAAGCCATCCACTTTACCAAACATGGTATCTTTCTCCAGTGACTGGTTCTTTCTGACAAAATGTCTGAAGTATGAGCGATAAAGTCTGGCCATGCTGTCTTCCAAGGAGCATTCTGGTTGTACTTCTTCCAACACAGATTTGTTTATTCTTTTAGCAGTCCATGGTACTTTTAATATTCTCCTCCAACACCATAACTCAAATGCATCAATTCTTCTATGGTCTTCCTTATTCATATCCAACTTTCACATGCATATGAGGTTATTGAAAATACCATGGCTTGGGTCAGGTACATACACCCTAGTCCTCAAATTGACATATTTGCTCTTAAACTCTTTAAAGAGATCTTGTGCCGCAGATTTGCCTAATGTATTACACCGTTTGATTTCTTGACTGCTGCTTCCGTGAGCAAAATGAAGTCTTTGACAATTTCATTTTTTCTCTATGTTGATGTTGTTTATTGATCTAATGATAAGGATTCTTGTTTTCTTTATATTTAGGTACAACGCATACTGAAGACTGTGGTCTTTGATCTTCACAGTATTTTAAGTCCTTTTCGCTTTCAGCAAGCAAGGTTGTATCATCTGCATATTGCAGGTTCCTAATGAGTCTTCCTCAATCCCTGCTGCAACGTTCTTCATGTAATCCAGCTTCTTGGATTATGTGCTCAGCATACACATTGAATAAGTATGGCGAAAGAATACAACTCTGGCACACACACTTCTTAATTTTAAACCATTCAGTGTTCCTTATTCTATTCCAGCAGTTGCCTCTTGTTCCATATATAGATTCTTCATGAGCCCAATTAAAACTGTTCCTAACTATTCATTCTCCGCAATGTTGTCCATAGGTTATCATGATCTACACCATTGAAAGCCTTTGTGTAGTCAATAAAGCACAAGTTGGTTTGGAGTCCTGGTTTGGTGTGGTGGTGGTGGTATGCCATGAAGTCGGTTCCGATTTATAGCGACCCTGCACAGGGTTTCCGAGGCTATAAATCTTTACGGGAGCAGGAAGCCTCATCTTTCTCCCACGGCATGACTGGTAGTTTCGAACTGCTGACCTTGATTGAGGTTAGCAGCCCGACTAGTAACCACTACACTAACCAGTGCTACTAGAGTCCTGACGTAGCGCTGTACAATAAGCACTGGACTGCAAGGTCAGATTGACCTGCCAGGTCAGCGGTTCAAACTCACTAGCTAATCTGGTTTCAGTTGACTCAGACTTGACAGCACTTAACATTTAGTACTTTATGGAGTCCTGGTGTCGCACTGGCATCCTAGTGTGGTGCTGTAGGATAAGCACTGAAATGCTAACCACAAGGTCAGTTGTTCAAAACCAACAGACACTCTTTGGAAACCCTATACAGGGTCTCTGAGTCAGAACTGACTCAATGGCACTTAGCAACCAAAATGAGAAGTGATGCTTTAATTGCTTCCAATGCTCTCCTAGTTTTCACACTATTAAAATATGAGGTTAAGAGTATTTGTAAAACACTTCAAAACCAAGCAGGAATGAACACTTCTTAAACTAAAAAAGAATGGGACCCTGAGATAGAAATAACTTACTAGGATTATTAATGACATTATTCGTGATAAACATTGTTGCCCTGCTTCATTTTTCACTCTGGAGCCTAGTATTATTTTTAATCTATGAAAGATAGGAGATGATTGTGTCTAAATAAGTGTCTTTACCATTTTACCATTTTAATTACATTCTGCATTATATCACATTGTACATATATTGACTATTTTATATATCCTGTTATAGTATGCTTTTATTACCTATGTATAAAAACCTATATATATATATATATATATATATATATAAAATAAGCTATGCTATTATTCTTTCAAGTCCTGGTGTGGCACTGTAGGATAAAGTACTTGACCTCAAGGTTGGTGTAAACCTCAAGGTTCGTGGTTCAAACTCACCAGCCACTCCTTGGAATATCTATACAGGGTCCCTGTGAGTCAGAACCAACTCGATGTTACTTAACAATGATTACAGCATATTATTTTGTGTATATCTCTTCATATTCACAGTGCTCATGTGAGTAATCTGCAAATGACGCTTTTATTAAATGAATGGAGTGTCTTCAGTGCTTATATTAATAAGAAGGAACTTACACTTGTTTTCATTTCAGGATATTTTTTAAAATACCCAATAAGTAATATATAATTTTTAAAGAATAGAAGGAAGGCCTTTAAATAATTTGTGGAGAATATTTTCAAACACTTGCTTTACTCAAAAATCTCTTCTTTTGCTTTAAAACAACTTAGGTAGTATTTAAATGTATGTTGTTAAGTGCCGTCAAATTGGTTCCAACTTATAGTGACCCTGTGTGGAATTTCTGAGGAGCACATGGTGAGTTTGAACCACCGACCTTGCAGTTCAGACTAACATTGTGGTCCATTACTTATCCAACAGCATGACACCAGAACGCCAAACATTATATAACTAGTAATTATTGGCCATTAAAAACAAAACCAATTTTGTCTTTCAGCTCCTGAATTCAGACCACAGATGCACAGCCACAGTCCAGATCTGTAGCGGTTCTGTAAACCTTAAGGGCGCTGTGAAATGCAGAGCTTATATTCATAGCAGTAAACCCAAAGTTAAAGATGCTGTGCAGGTACAAAAAAGAAGCATTTTACACTGTAGACATACTAATACATTTGAAATCCTGTTTTCTGAGAAAAATTAAGATTTTTAAATAGCAGGGAGATTATTCATGGAAAGAACTATTATATAATGAATATAATTCAGAAATTTAAAAAGTGATGACCAGTATTTTTATCACAGTTACATATTTATTGTTGTTGTTTAGTGCTATTGATTCCGACTCATAGTGATTCTATAAAGGATTTCTGAGGAGTGAATGGTGAGTCTGAATCACTGACCTTGCAGTTCAAACCAACCTTGCAGTCCAGTGCATTAACTCATAATGCCACACCAGGACTCCAGTCATGTATTTAGGATACTGGAAATGTTTGTTTAGATTCAAAATTTCATGTTATTTAAGGGGTTTTAATTTAGTTTGTATGAGGACTATGCAAATTCAACATTAAACTACTGTTGTATCAGTAAACATGCTAAATAAATGGAAATTAAAAATTTAAATGACATACCACTTATTTTAGATATATGGAACCTATATATTTTAGATATATGGCCTCATGCAGGCTTGCTATGTATCAGAATTGACCCAATGGCACTAAAACAATGAAAACAACAGTTATTTTAGGGGAGATAAGTATGATTTGAGTAATAAAATAACCTAAATTTTAAGTAATCTTGTTTTGTACTGTGTTTTTTTTTCTCCCCCCCATCCCCTAGGCCATAAAGAGAGATATACTGAATACAGTTGCTGACCGTTGTGAGATATTATTTGAAGATCTGCTTTTGAATGAAATTCCAGAAAAAAAAGTTATGAATATAAAATAAGTGCTTGTATTTATATTGATATATGTATTTAATTGATACAGTAACAGGATATGAAGATATAATAGATGTCATCTTTTGTATCTACTTTTAGCTATCTCTTACAGCAATGTTATATTTTCCCATTATTATCTAATGAAAAATTTTCACTTGCCACCAAAAAAAATTTTTGAACACTTTATAGTAGCAACATGTGTCAGAATTGGGAAATTTCACGGCAAGTTTTATTTTTAATGAATTTTGAGTAGCCACTTCTGCCAGAATGTGTGAACTGTGTTCCTGTTCTAAAGCTGATATTTTTTATTAATATCTGATTTTTTTAGATAGTGCAAACTCTTAATGTGCTTAGGTTGGAAGTTTGAGTCCATCTAGCAACAACTTGAAAAAAAGAGTTGATGAGCTACTTCTGAGGGAAAATCAACCATTGAAAACCCTGTGCAGCACAGTTCTACTCTGGCACATTGAATTCAAATTGCCACGGAGATGAAATCAACTCAGTGGCAGCTGGTACTGGTGTGAGATTTTTCAAGGATTACTGCTGCTGTTAAGTGCCATCAAGGCGGTTCAGACTCATAGTGTCCCTGTATAGGGTTTCTGAGGAGGGGCTGGTGGGTTTGTTGTTACCAAATCCTTTTCGTGTACTAGGTTATCTACTCAGCTAATACTCTATCAGAGTCCTGCTGCGGTGCTGCAGGTTAATGCTCGGGACTGCAAAGCTGGTTTGAACCACATTGTCAGGTCCTTCTTGGGAACCCTATATACAAAGTCACTGTGAGTAGGAACCAAGTCAACGGCACTTAACAACAATACTGTATCAGACTTTATTAAGTTTTAAAAGGCTGGGTCATGATTTCTTGTTATAACTACTACATGCTTTGAAACTACTGCATCTTTAGATTAGCGGTCTAGTGCTTATCCTACAGCATCACATAAGGACTCCAAGGATTATCTCTAATTAAAATATTCATTTATTTATTAACGTTGAGTAGGATATGATATGGGAGAGCGGTAGTTCTATAGGATGAGCAGTGAACTGTGAACCACAAGTTTGGCAGTTCAAACCCACCAGGTACTCTGAGGGAGAAGGCTGAGGCTTTCTGTTCTACCAAATATTTAAAGCCATGGAAACCCTATATAGTTCGATCTGAGTTGAAACCAACTACACAGCACTTAATAATAACAACAGTATATAATAGGTTCCTTGTTGTTCTTGATGTTGGTACCAACTCATTGCAGCCTTGTACACAACAGAATGAAACACTGCCCAGTCTTATACCATCTTTACAGTTGTTCTTGAGCCCTTTGCTGCTGTCACTGTGCCAGTTCATCTCAGTGGTGATCTTCCTCTTTTTCCCTGACCCTCCATTTTGCCTAGCATTATATCCTTCTCCAAGGTCTGGCCCCTCCTCATAACATATCTGAAGTATGAGAGACAAAGTCTTGCCTTCCTGGTTTCAGTGGACAATTCTGATTATAGTACTTCTTCCAACACAGATTTGTTCTTTTGGCAGTCCATTATACTTTTAATATTCTTCTCCAACACCATAATTCAAATGGAACAATTTTTCTGTGTTACTTATTGACTCAGTTGGGAGGATTTTTGTTTTCTTTACATTGAGGTGCACTCTACACTGAAAGGCTGTGGTTTTTCATCTTTATCAGTATGTACTTAAAGTATTTAAGCCTCATTACTTTCAGCAAGCAAGATTATATCATCTGCATATTACAGGTTAATGTATGTTCCTCCAATCCTGATGACGTGTTGTTCTTCATATAATCCAGTTTCTCAGATTATTTGCTCAGTATATAGATTGAGTAAGTAGTGTGAAAGAATACAGCCCTGTCAGTATCACCTTGCTCTGTTTTAACTACCACCTCTTGGTGTCTATACAGTTTCCTCATGCACACAATTATTATCCATAGCTTGGCATGATCCCCACAGTCGAAAGCCTTTGCATAGTCAATAAAGCACAAGTAAATATCTTTCTGGTATCCTCAGCTTTCAGCCAAGATTCATCTAAAGTTAGCAAGGATATTCCTCATTCCACATCCTCTTCTGAATTGGACTTGAATTTCTTGCAGTTCCCTGTAATGTTCCTGTGTTGGAGATATTTATTAATGAGTCTTCCTCCAACCCTGCTGCCATGTTATTCATAGAATCCCTCTTCTCAGATTATTTGCTCAGCATGTTGTTGTTGTTATTAAGTGCTGTTGAGTCAGTTCAGACCCATAGCAACTCTGTACAGGGTTTCTAAGGCTATAAATCTTTATTGGAGCAGAATGCCTTATCTTTCTTCCATGGAGTGGTTGGTAGTTTTGAACTGCTGACCATAAGGTTCACAGCATGATTCGTAACCACTATGCTACCCAGACATTGAATAAGTATGGTTAAAGAATACAACTCTATTGCACACCTTTCCTGCTTTAAATAATTCCGTGTCCCCTCTCTATTTGAACTTCCTTTTAATCTTTGTGTACAGGTTCCTCATGAACACAATTATGTGTTCTCTTATATTCATGCTTCTCAATGTTATCCATAGTTTATCATGATTTGCACACTTGAAAACCTTTGCATTGTCAAATAAAGCAGAGGTAAACATCTTTCTTTAATTCTCTGCCTTTAGCTGAGATCTGTCTCACATCAGCAATGATATTCCTTCTTCCAAGTCCTAGTCTAAATCTGTCTTGATCCCTTGGTAGTCCCTGCCTGTGTACTGTTGCATCCATTTTGGAATTATCTTTAGCAAAATTTTACTTGAATATGTTATTAGTGATATGTGAATAGATGTGTAATTCACATTTTGTATAAATATAAAATTAAAACATATATTAACTTAGGAGAATATTTGTATGTTTATTGAAATAAAGTGCAGAACCTCTATACAACTAGCTTCTTTTAGAACTACTGATAGACAGTATATTAGATTTGATGGACTTATCATAATATTTTTAAATTCTTAGTATGATAAATTCTTATAATTGCCAAGTTAACGTTTGTCTTTGTCCCTCTAGCAATTCACAACTAACCCTATTGTCCATGCACTGATAATGTATACTTTTGCTGAGACATGAATTTGAGTCTTATAGAAACTAGGTTAAGATTTTTATTTTGTTCACTTAGATAGGAGCTCTGGTAGCGTAGTGGTTACGACTCGGGCTGTGAACCGCAAGGTCAGCAGTTCGAAACTACCAGCTGCTCCGCGGGAGAAAGATGAGGCTTTCTACTCCCATAAAAGATTTACACCCTCGGAAACCCTGTACAGGGTCGCTATGAGTCGGTTCCGACTCCACGGCACATAACAACAACAACAACAGCCAGACAACCAACTTCAGAATGACTTTGTTTTGCTTCTTAGCTTTGTGTACGTGGTAATTGTATGTTACAACGTACTTCATTTTATTATCAATGATATATTTTATACCACTATTATTATTAGGAATTTTAAGGAGCTCTGGTAGCGTAGTGGTTATGAGTCGGGCTACTAACCTCAAGGTCAGCAGTTCGAAACTACCAGCTGTTCTATGGGAGAAAAATGAGGCTTTCTGTGCCAGAATGATTTACAGCCTCGGAAACCCTATGCAGGGTTGCTGAGTCAGAACTGACTCCATGGCGCACCACCACCATTGTGAAGTTTAGGACTTCCATAGATATGTGGATATATCCATTATTAATGCCAAAGATCTATCTTATCATATACATTGATGAATAATCTTTTCCGTTTAAGAATATATCGTAAAAGTATATGACTGTCCTGGTATTATTATTTATTAAATGAGTTGCTATTTTGAAAATTTTGCTGACACCAGTTGGTAAACTGATGGCTTTAATTGCAGTTGTAGTAGTTAAACTTAATATTTTATAAATTAATGCTAACATCTAATCCTAAATAGAGACTACAGTGGCTCCATATGAAAATCACTGGACCACAGTCTGAGGTATGAGCCCACCAAGTACTATGTGGGAGAAAGATGTGGCTGTTTGCTCCTGTAAAGATGTTAAAAGCTTCAGAAACCCTGTACTAGATCATAATAAGTCAGAGTCAGCTCAATGGCACTTAACAACAATCCTAAAAACGGATCCCAGTTGATATAGTGGTTTACCAGTTGGGATGCTAACCACAAGGTCAGCTGTTTAAATCCACCAGTCACTGTGGGAGAGAGATGAGACTTTCTGCTCCCATTAAGATTTATATTCTTGGAAACCCTAAACAGGTTTGCCATGAATCAGAAATAACTCATTGGCACACAACCATCACTAGCAATGCTAAATATTTTTAAAGTGTAAAGAATTTTCATTATCAATTAAATAACCTTTTGGGACCATATGAAGAGAATAGAAGTTTGAAGTAGTTTGATGGAAAAAGAAAAAAATTTGAAAATTCCTCGGTTTTGTGTCTTTCATTACCAGACTGGTCTTGGACAAATGATTTGACCTAACCAAGAATCCATTTTCTTATTTGTAAAATAGGGATTATAATAACTAGATTATGAGGTTGTGAGATTAAGTGAAATGATGTAATAGTCTAGGATAACCATTCCAGTAGATTGTTAGTTAGCCTTAGTTATGATATTAAGAGAAAAGAATAATTACAAGTCTAATAATACAAATAAATATAAATCCTGAAGTATATACACATTAATATATATGTGTAAATATATATGGTTGTGGTGATTATGTGCCATAGAGTTGGTTCCGACTCATAGCAAACATATACATATATATACATATATATATATATACGGAGCTCTGGTAGCTTAGTGGTTATGAATTGGGCTACTAACCTCAAGGTCGACAGTTTGAAACTACCAGCTGTTCTGCGGGAGAAATGTAGGATTTATGCTCCCGTAAAGATTTACAGCCTCGGAAACCCTGTACAGGATCACTGTGAGTTGGAACCGATTCCACAGCACATAACAAGAACATATATATCTATACAAACATATATAATTGTGTATATATGTATGTGTATATATATACACATATGTATATACACACATTCACCAAATATATTTTAGATTTTGTCCTCATTATATTTAGCTTCTCTTATATATAGGAAAGATCTTATATATACTGTAACAGCATGTAATACAGTAAAACACAAAATGTATGGCAATAAATTAACCTGAATTAGAATATTTTCACATGCATAGGAAGTCTACAATGTTCTTCTTAACTTTACACTTCTAATCTTTAAAATAAACATAGTCTTTGAATTTTGACTGTGCAGATGAAAGGACTTACAGTGATACTTCACTGATAGTAAAAATGTAAAGAACTAACCAATCCTTTTACTTGTTCTGAATTTTCCCTTCTGTAATTCCCCTTAACAAGCATTATGTTTTTATTGTTATGTGCTGTTCAGTTGGTTCCAAATCATAGTGATCCTGTACAGAGTTGTACAGCTGGTGGGTTTGAAGTGCTGACCATGTTTTTTGCAGTCCAGTGCTAATTCTGCAACACCACACCAGGAATCCAACAAGCATTACAGACCTCATTAATTGTTCTCTCTAAGCCCCCATTCAGTCCTACTCACTTCCTCCTCTGTAGATGACCTGGCCACTGCTGTCAAGGGAATTCCAACTCAGTGACCCTACTCATTATGAAAAAATGAAATTATGAAAAAATCTTTTTCCCTATATTCACATCCATTTGCATCACTTTTTCCACTTAGAACATTTATAATCCTCTTGGCCTGTGATCATGGTTCTAATCTCTGGAATGTACTTTTCATCCCTTCATGCAAATGTCTACCTGTCCTTTAAGATTCAGGTCAGAAATCTCCTATTTTGCAAAAGTTTCAGTAAAACTCTAATATGATTAAAACTCTGTGTCTTAACTGGCAGAAACTTAATTCTTCTCATACTGGCTTAAGCTTTTTTTTTTTTTTTAAGGGGGAAAAAAAGGGGGGGGCCTTCATATTTGTCAATTCATTCAAATAATGTTGAATTACATTCAATGTAGATATTCTACCACAGAGAAATACTTTTTTGAGGTGTATTTTTATTCCCATTTTTAACCTGAGGCCAGTTTGAAAATTTGGTCCTATTTAGATACTGATTCACCAGTTACCTATTGATTTGAAATTTACAATAGTTTTTTCTTTATTTAAGGAGTGACTAAAAACATTATTGCACCCAGTCTTTAAGCACTTGATTTCATAGCATGCCTCTGTAAATTTTTTTTCAGACAAACCCAAAATTAATAGATTTGAAATGGCTTTTAAATTTTGCATGCTACTCATGCACATTTTAGTCATTTTTCAAACTGTTGAACTTATTTCTACTAATTGTGATCCAAAACAAAATAATGTAACTCTAATTTTGATGTGGTACTGTAGGTTAATGTGCTAGACTGCAAAGTAAGTTTGAGCCTCAAGGTCAGTGGTTCAAGCTTACCAGCCGCTCCTCTAAAACCCTATACAATGTTGCTATGGGTTGAAACCAACTCAACAGTACTTAACAATAACAACAAATTTTAATGTAATACAGTAATTCTGATGTAATGGAGACCTGGTATGGTGCTGTAGGATAAGTATTAGACTGCAAGGTTGCTTGAAATGCAAGTCTAGTGGTTCAAACTCACCAGTCATTCCTTGGAAACCCTATCTATACAGGGTCATTATGAGTCAGGACTGACTCAGTGGCACTTAAAAACAATTTTAATGTGTGAGCAATTTATGTACAAATTGCAGTAATGCAGTTCTACAGCTAGGCGGCAGTCTGGTCAAAGATGAAAGTTTTCTTCCAGTTTTCATGTTCAAACAAGATAATAAGCATCCAGCAGCCTCTCTCCAAGGCACACATACTGTATGTAAGTTATGGCATTTTCCATGGCAGTGGAGGCATTCTTCATTATCTTTGGTTTGTAATTATGTAAAATAACTCTAGTTGCATGACAAAGAAATGTAGGTCACTCTCTTTGTGAGCCTCTTTTGTAACTGATTTGTAAGTTGTCAGCTTTTTAAAATCATATCCATTGCCAAGAGTTTATTCTTTATGCAAAATCTCTAATCTTTTGAATATTTTATTGGGATCATAGTGTTAAACCAAATAGTTGTTATGTGCTTATGTGGACCTTGGCTCTTTATGTTAGAAACGATGAGAACTCTTATATTCTCATTTGTGAGTATTCAAACAAGAATGAAGCATAGTTATTCATTATTTATATTCAGATTCCTTTTTCTAAACATGATTTAAAGCCATTTGTAAAGAGGTAGAGAAGTCAACCAGATAAAATGAATATTAGTAATAATAATGAGACAAAAGGGAAATAAAAACCAAAGTAAAATGGAGTTGATAGTGAGATTGCTATTAAATGTGGTCTAGTTGGTTCTGACTCATAGCAACCATGTTTCCAAGGAGCAGCTGGTGGGCTTGAACCTTTGATCTTGTGGTTAACAGCTCAGTGTTTATCATAAAGCACCACACCAAGACTCACAAATTGTCTGTTTTGATGTCCTATATATACTTGAAAATGTTTGTAAGATGAAGTCATTAGTAAGATTAGTACAAGAGTAGTATACTATATCTACTTTATGTACATGGACCACCGATTGGCTAGAAGAAAGAAAAGTGGTAAAATTCACAATGCTTATAATAAAGTTAAATAAGAGGAGCAAGGTTTTTCTGAAACCTTCTAGGAAATTATCTTCTTCAAATGACCAAAACCCATGAAGTTAATTCCTACTCATAGTGATCATACATAGAGTTTCCAAGACTATAAATCTTTATGGGAGCAGAATGTCTCTCTCTTTCTCCTTCAGAACAGCTAGTGGGTTTAAACTGATGACCTTGTGGTTATCAGTCTAATGTGTATCCCAGAGCACCAACATAATAAATGTATCCCACAGCCTTCATAATAAAAGACCATGCAATCAATTATATCCTTGCATTTAAGGATATTATCACTATATACAAAGTTTCATAGGAAAGGAGCATTATTTAATTAACTTGAATGCTTAGAGTACCCCGTGCATTAGAAGTAAATAATTACCTTTTATACTTTATTTCTAATGGAAACTTTCATTTATTTCTAAAGTATATACCATTGTTATATGTGATAAACTCATCTAAATATTGTTAATATTCATTCTCTTTTTAGATCTTAAAAAAGAGTTCCACAGCCTCCCACATCGTGTTTTTGTTCCCATACCTGGATCCACTGTAATGTTATGTGATTATAAGTTTGGTGATGAGCCAGCTGAAGAAATTACAAACCACTTTATAGAGATGTTAGATAAAATCATTCAAATAGAAGATTTGGAAATTGCAGAGGAAATAAGCACAGGTAATTACAAGATATATTTAAGAGATTGATTAAAATACAACTAAGATTACAGGAGACATCTAGTTTAAATGTTCTATCGTTAGAGTTCCTTAAAACTAGAGCTGTTTGACACTTCAAAATATAACCAAGGGATATTATTAACTGCTAAGCTTAAGAAAAGGAAAACAAGTCCACGAGAGCCAAAATATGACCTTGAATACATCCCACCTGAATTTACCGGTCATCTGAAGAACAGATTTGATACATTAAACACTAAAGACTGAAGACCAGAAGAGTTGTGGGTTGACATCAAGAACATCATACAGGAAG